GGACCATCACAACTGTCCTCTCGACCGATTTATCGGACCCCGAAAATCTGTGGTCGTTGCCAATCGTGGCACCGCACCTGGGAGTGCACGAGGATGGTCGCCTGCGGTTTCTGTGCAGGTCCTCGACACAGTGGAATGCAAATCGAAAATTCAGAACAAAATCCCAGTTATTCCACGGTGTGTCAATGCCGTAACCAGTCACCACGCCTGGAATGCCAATTGCCCACAGCATCCTGGCACGCGCCCAGGGAAAACTTACATTGTACCACCGCCCTTGTCTCTGACGAAGCCCCTGTCAATCAAACCTCACTCCTATCCCCCACCGCCTCTTCCATCCACCAAGGATTTCCCATTGATTGATCTCCTCTCCTCAACCATCCCCCCTATCACCCCTACCACCCATCCTTTCTCCCCTCCCTCCCTCTCCCTCTGAATAAATATTTTTCAACAGTTTTCACCACCGAAAATTTAAACATGATACCCGAGGCACCGACTCTATTCAGAGATAGTGAAGAAAACAAATTAAGCGAGATAGTAGTGACTAGTAACCATGTTAATAAGCAACTAGACAAACTGAAGCCAAATAAGTCACCTGGTCCCGATGAGATATTTGCCAGAGTATTAAAGGAATGTAAGGAAGAGCTTAGTATGCCCTTAGCAAAATTGTTTAACATGACTTTAAAAACAGGATTAGTACCAGAATCCTGGAGGATAGCAAATGTAATACCGATTTTCAAGAAATAGATTATATCCTCTAACTACCGCCCAATCAGTCTAATATCAATAGTAGGCATTCTATAGAATCAATCATTTCAAACTCTATTCGAAACCACCTGGAGAAGCACAAGTTGATCAATGATTCCCAACAGGCTTCACAAGCAGGCGTCCATGTCTAACTAATCATTCTTTTCATTAGTTTTCGAATCGGTGGACGAGGGGCATTATGATGTGGTATATCTCGTCTTTAGCAAAGCCTTCGACAGAGTCCCCCACGAAAGACTAATTAGAAAGGTAGAAGCACATGTCATCAATGGTAATATCCTTAAATGGATTAGGGCGTGGTTATGGGACGAAACAGCGAGTGAGCATAAACGGCACTAAATCGCACTGGACAACGTCACTAGTGGAGTTCCCCAAGGCCGTACTTGGACCATTATTATTTATTATATACATAAACGACAAATATCGGCATAGACAGCAACATAAGTAAATTTGCTGATGACACTAAAATAGGACGTGTAATTAAATCTGAAGAGGACTGCAAAACTACAGGAAGATCTAACCAAATTTTTCGAATGGTCGGAAAATGGCAGATGAAATTCAATGTGGACAAATGTGAATACTCAATATAGGAGATGTAAACAGGGAAACCAGTTACCAGATGAACAACGATGCCATTGTGGAATCCAACTGCGAGAGAGATTTAGGAGTAATGATAAGTAGGAATGTTAAGCCAAGTAAACAATGTGTTTTTGCTCATAACAAGGCTAATAAAGTACTTGGGTTCATACAAAGGAGTGTTAGTTACAAGACTAGTGAGGTCATCTTAAAATTATATCTAGCGCTTGTGAGACCTCACCTGGATTACGCAGTTCAGCTCTGGTCACCTTATTACAGAATAGATATAGAAGCCTTGGAAAGAATCCAGAGGAGAATGACAAGATTAATCCCGGGCATCAGGAACCTTGAGTACAGAGACAGGTTAAAGCATCTTAATTTGCACTCCCTCGATAGACGTAGAGCGAGGGGCGACCTGATAGAGGTGTATAAATGGAAGTCAGGGTTAAACAAAGGGGACATTACAAAGGTACTCAAACTATCCAACCAGGAGCGAACTCGTAACAATGGTTATAAATTAGACAAATTTAGATTTAGACGTGAAATAAGTATACACTGGTTTGGAAACACAGTAGGATATGAATGGAACAAGTTACCAAATATCAGCATTAATTCGAATACGCTGGATAGCTTCAAACATAGGTTGGATGCTTATATGAGCAATAGGGGTTGGGTATAAACGGGACTGCCCAGTATGGGCCAATAGGCCCGCTGCAGTTTCCTCCATTCTTATGTTCTTATGTTCTTATGTTCAAGGTCGTTGCCGGCCCTGCCACACAGTCACCACCTCCTCCTGCCCACCTGGACCCCAGCTGTCCTTACACAGCACCACCACCTCTTACTCACCTGAACCCTCACCGTCCCTCTCCGTCGCTACCACCACCACACATGCCCAGTCTGGCCTCTGACAATCCTCGCCGCCCCCTCCAGCTCCTGCACAGGTACACCAAGTTGGTTCTATGGAAACAATCACTCTCCGTCTGATCACCACTCCAAGCCAAATCAACTTCTCTGCCCAACTCGACTCGCTTAAAACAATTGCGACATTGCAGAGGCAACAATAACTTCATTCTGACACCTGATCCAAACAGGGGCGCACTTTGTAAGCTCCTGCAGGATCTGCCTTCCATCTCCCGAGATGGAGGATCCATCCCTCGCCTCCCTCACCTCCCTCCATTTTTCTCAACAGAATTTGGGTACCTCCTTCTGAGTCTCTGTCTAGCCCCACAGGACTCATCTCACACCGAGGCCGTTCCTCCTCTTCTTGCCAATGGAACATCCAGGACTTAGACCTCGCCGGACAGACCTCGCCCAGTTTGTGCTCTCCCATCAAGTAGATGTTGCTCTCCTCCACAGGAAACCACATCACAGATGATGCTACTCCACCCGCCTCTGGCTATACTGTTTACACCCGCCCCGCACCGTGGGCAGGTTTCGTGGCCTCACCCTTGTGCGTGAATAATCATCCCATCTGTTCGTCTCCCTACACCTGACCTCACATGGACCCCTGTCTGACCATTACTTGTCTCCCTTAATTTTGGTGACCGGTCCCTTCGTGTAGTCAATGTTCATTCTTAAGAGTGATTCTCTGGACCCCAGGCTCTACGACCTCCATGATGTGGGATTCTACTATTAAGTTCTTGGCGACTTTATCAAAAGCCGCCATATCCCACTCTTACCTCTGGATCATCCCACGCCATGTACCCTTAACGACCCGCTATCCCCAGTTTTAACGGGGATGTGATATGATGTTCGCTTTTGTCCTTAATGATCCTACTCGCCTCCCCATAGTTTCCTTGATTTTGGCTTACTATTGAACGGCCATACTTCCTCCTTTCTTCCTACCGCCTGCACCGAGCCTGCTCTGCATAGTGACCATCTTGCCGTTACTACCCATCTCGGCTCTCCTTCTCTACCCCTACATCAGCTCCTTATCGATCCCCGCCTTCGTCTCACACAAGATGCTGTTCCTTCCTTTACCCAATATACCTTTCTACCTGGGTGGATTCCCTATTTTGTCCCCCAGTCCCTTGACTCTACAGCACTGATTTTGTTGATGCCGTGTATGACTGTCAATCGCACTACCTCCACGCCCTCCCCGTCACCCCCAGAAGCACCTCAACCACTGGTATCGTATCCCTGCCATGAGATTACTCCGGCAGGTAACCCGTGATCTCCACTCGCCATACCGGAGGTCTCGCTCTCCAGAGGACTGGGAAGACTTCAAAATTGGTGCTCCATTGCAACTCAGGAGCGTCGTCGGATTCGTGAGGCGGACTGGCTATCGTCTCACGGGTCTCTATCATTCCAGTCGTCACCCTTATGTATGGAATCGATTAATGCTATACGGGGTACTGACGGAGGCCCCTCCTCCCACCCTGACCCCCGCCTCCCCGCCTGCTCTTTAATGTGGAGGACTGGGCACAGCCTTCTCCCAGAGAGGCACCAAGCAGATCCAATGAGGCAGTGCAGGCTCGATCGATGCGTCTGAGCCTGTTGTTTGTGCTGCTCTTACCTCCTCTAGTTCCCCACTGATCATCCAATCAGCCACAGTTCGAGCTTGACAGTGCTCGCCGCCTAGAAAAGATAACAATTTCCTGGGGATGATCAGATAACCTACTCCGTCCTCAACGCCTGTACAATATTCCTAACGGCCTCTACTCTGCTCTCTACAATATGTCTTATGAACTTGGGGTTCTCCCGTCTACCTTGGAAAAATGCTACTATTATCCCCATCCCCAAACCGGGAGATCCTGGGAAATATCGAACCATTAGTCTTACCTCCTGTGTTTGCAAGATGATGGAGAGGGGATACTTATCGTCGCCTTCTTCACACCATAGGCGGCCTACAATTCCCTCAATGGTTTCAGCGCTAAAATCGCAGCACAGCACATTCCATTGCTTCCTTTATTGCAATCAGACTGCCCGTCTCCACTTCCTTGATATCAAGGGAGCCTTTGATACGGCTCAACCTGCTCCCTCATTTTAGCTGAATCATGTTGTGGGTTAAAGGAGATTCTTTTCTAATGGATCGCCTCCTACCTCACTGGATTTCAGCCAGGGTTCGCGTTGAAGGCTCTATATCTCCCCTGTTCAAGAAAATGAACCTCGGCACCCCTCAAGGTGAGTCCTGCGTCCTACCTTGTTTAACACTCATGCACTCCATTGCATCTCCCGTGGTCGCATTGCAGTTGTCCCTCAGGATGGAAGGCCTGGGACTAGGGATAGAAATCCCTACCAGGCTAAATCAGGATCTTAATAAAGGAAAGTCAAGGACCGCGGTTTTCAGAGGAATAACAACAACCGTTAGAGATTGGCATCTCTTTACTATAAAAATATAACACAAAACTCTGACCACCTGAATACACATCATCCACAATTACGGAGTCAAAACAATTAATGGGAAACAACAATTAAAGGAATCAAAACAAATAATGGAGTCAAAGTAATTAATGGATTCAAACACTAAATGGAGTCAACAATTTAGCTGTAAACTGAACAATGCAGGGGAGTCAGCAATTAATGGAATCAAACAATTATAGAATCAAACCATGAACAAATATCTTACGCAGTGGCCCTGGGGAAAGGTTCTGGAACACGGTGATGCACACTCAGGGTAAATGAAACGTCCACTTCGACCCCACACTCAGCGACGTCTTGAAAAGGCAGGAGAAAACGCTGGGGCACCGACGGAATGTGATGAACTGATGGTCGTGGTATGCGGTAGTGGTAGATGACCAAAGAGTTGGCAGTTGATAGGTGAAGGTCTGTGAACACAGCCCACGAGTCCAGGACCTATGATGAGATCACAGCCAGAATTTGACGGACAGCAGGGTAGCTAGATACTGACGGTATGGCGGCTGGGGTTGAAATTCCGCTGGTGGCGGAGATAGTCGCCGCTGTTCTCTCACCGGCCCCAACCACCCATCGTCGTCCGCACCCCAGCAAACGAGCTGAAGTTGAAGTTAGAAGCGGTAACCAGCCGGAGGATCGTTTCCGCCCTTACACAGGATATGCCGACGATGTCCTCCCTCCCTAAGCCCCTGACTACCTCATCATGCAGGAAGCTCTTGATCTGGTCTCCAGAGAGTGTGATTCACTCTGGTTTCTCTTCAACTAATACGAAAACAAAAGCTATGTGGCACGGTCGTTTTGGTACCTATACCCCCTTCTCTATCAGGAACGCCCTGGACTGCTAATGAGACAAAATACCTGGGTGTGTATGTAACTCCCGCACACGCTGTCGATCCCCTGAAGTCCCCTATCTTCGGTGACATATGCCATCGGGCGTCTCGGCCTCTCTACCATGTGCAGGCCCTTGGTGCCACCATCCCCGTAATTTCACCATGTACAAGTGTTTTGGTGAACTGTTCCTGTGTCGACTACGCCAGCTGCCCCTGCCCTCGTCAACATTAAATGGACTACTGGCCAACCGTCCTCGGGTTATCCAGAGGAAAGCTGCTCAGACATCCTTAGCTCCTCAGTGGACACACGCTCTACTTCTCTATATACCGAACTTGGTTTTTCCCTTACAGGATCGTGTCCAGGAGTTTTACCTAAAACTATCAAGGTTTCCATTTTACGGATCCCCGGGGCAACTATGTCCAAGCCAACTTGACTTGCCGTCCGAGGCCGACCTCCATCTAGAAGACAGTGGCGAGGGTCACTCATCCGGTGCCTTCCAGGAACACTACCCTCCTGCCTGATATTATTGCTGTCACCCCTGCTGTTGGTTCGTCTCTTCCTGGCTGATTTTCAACCTGAAGTAATTGCCCTCGGTGGACTGCTCCCGAAATCCCACGTGAACCATGTTATTCTCTCTGCAAATACCACCTCTTCAGGATCGCCCACTGGTCCCCAGGTAGGGTCGTCCTTCACACTGATGGTTTTGTTGACCCGCCAAGGTAAGGTCGGGCCAGGGCTGGTGTCTACATCTCCCGTCCTGATGCCCCGAGCCTATCAAACTGTCTCTCAGAGTTTTGACGGGGCGTCCTCCGCTCAGGCTGAAACTAATAGCCCTCCTTGCTGCCCTTTCCGCTGGAGGAAGAAGCAGATGGTTTCGCCCATTGTTTGTCTGCTGCGATTCCAAGTCTGCTCTCGCCTGATCGCATTTGGATCAGGGAAAATAAGACCTCATCCTTCTCGGAATACGAGGGTTACATCCACACCTCAGGATGCAGGCCGTCCTGTGACATTCCCATGGCTACACAGTCATGTCGGTATCTTGGGGAATGAGACAACAGATGGCCTTGCCAAGACTGGCTGCAAACAAGGCTACACCTGACTACGTTAGTACCCTCGAAATCACCTCTACAGCTTATGACCTAAATCTGCCGCAGACAGAAGGAAGCGGGAAGCAGCTACATCCCCTGGACTCACTGCCTCCACCTGGTACGAGGTCCTCCGTAAACTTCCTAACCTCTCGTGAATCTATGTGGAAATGGTCGTGAAAAAGGACGTGATTGCTGCCCGTATCATCATTGGGTATGACTCTGCTTGGGAGATTGGTATCCCCGCATCTCCTGAGCAACGCTCTTGTGCATTATACAGAAGACCCGACAGCCGCACCCTTATCCATCACTCCCTAAGATGTCCCCAATACGGTAACGCTTCCGTGACGCCTGCTGACCACCACTCCACGACCCCTGACGGAGACAAGATGATCCTCCCCATACCGGCCAGATATTATGTAAATAACATTGATTATGTGTTGCAGGAACATCCTTCCTTCCTTAGGGCTTTTAGTAAGCCCCTTTATAATATCTATACTGTATATACTTGTCACACTTGCCAGATGCTTCTGGTATCATTGTACAGGGGTACCTAGTGACAGCACTAGGATACCTCTTCCTCTATCAAGGAATATACAATTGAAAATTAATTGAACAAAGGTACTCAAACTATCCAACCGGTAGCGAACTCGTAAATAATGGTTTTATATTAGACAAATTTAGATTTAGACGCGAAATAGGTAAACATTGGTTTGGAAATAGAGGTGTGGATGAGTGAAACAAGTTACCAAATATCATCATTAACTCGAATACGCTGAACAGCTTCAAACATAGGTTGGATGGATATATGAGCAATAAGGGTTGGTGTAAACGGGATTGCCCAGTATGCAAATAATAGGCCCGCTGCAGTTTCCTCCATTCTTATGTTCTTATGTTCTAATTCTGAAGAGTGAATCGTTATCAATACTAAATGCATTAAATAAAGAAGAAATACATAAATACTAATGTACAGTAGAGTCAACATTGACAGAAGTAGGTTTACGACTCAATTCTCTGACCTTATTAAGGAAATCTGAAGTAAAACAAGTTTCTGTTCCTTTGGTGTTGTTGGGATAATTTATAGCTGACTAGTAATTGTATCCATTGTCGATGGTAAAATAATGTGCATTCACCGATAAAGCGCATTTCTCTCCTTAAGTTTTTGCCTGTCAACTATTGTTTAAGTAATATCTCCATTAGCTGGAATTCCTCTTAGGCAGAACTCTTCAATACCAGGAATTTAGATTTTTTGAACATTTTCTGGAAAATTTCTCTAAATCTGGTCTGTGAATGATTTTCTAACAAAATCAGGAACATTTTCTTAAAAAAATTGAAAACATTCTAGAAACTCTCCAATTTTTCGCAGCTCTGGGAACAAATTCTGAGGTTGAAATAATGTGTTGGCCTGAAAATCCGAGACGAATTTGCATCCTCTCTCAGATTTTTTCGGGTCTGGGAGCAAATTCTACAGTTGAAATAAAGAAATTTTCAGAAAACTCCAAGAAACTTTTCCCAATACTTGGACAAATTCTTGGGATATGGATTTTTCTGGGTTTGAGAGAGTCGTCTCGTTACCCAGAAATCTTTCATCCGGGAAATTCTCGACACCAATTGTTTTGGATAATGGGGAATCTCACTGTACTTAGCAGCTGCTTGGCTGTGTCACAGACGGGGGTGAAGAGTTCGCTCATTGGAGTAAGCTATCCCGGTAGAATATAGAATTATTGGCCAAACTCCTTCCACTCTATATCTCTGGTGAGCCTGCTTGCTGAGTATAGAAAATCAGTCTACAAGTGCACCAGCCCTGCTAGCCGTTCAACCAATAACAATGCATGAGTAGCCACACTCCATAATTTATAATTTGAGCAAAACCACAAGTAATTTTTTTTAATTAAAGAGAAGTTTTTCATTGAATTTTCGTACCTTGAAACAATATGCTCATTAGATCCAATTCTCTTTCATCGATCATTCATTCAGCAGAGTTTACTATACAAAGTCTTCCATGAAAATTTAATTCAACTATATGTGAGTATGTGTATTGTGGTGAATAGACTGGGCACTGGGCCTTTTATAGAGCTTAACATCAGTATTTCAGATTGTGTAATGTTGTGCCAGCAACTGCGAATTACGGTTTCATTACAGGTTACCCTATGTAATGTTATTTGGTGGTGTGCGTGGTATGACAATAGATCATTTTCGAACTGTCAACGGCTTCAGCAACAAATTCTGGGGCTGGGGAGGAGAAGACGATGACATGTCAAATAGATTATTACACCATGGCTTCTTCATATCTCGTTCCCCGAGAGAAACTGGTCGCTTCACCATGTTGACTCACACGAAGGAGAAGCCCAGTGCAGAGAGGTGCGTAGAAAGTATTTTAAATCCAATGAATACATTGTGAATGAGTTATTATGCATAATCGGGTACCATAATTCATGTATATCTGTAAAAATACAAAGATTAATAATTTCATCTGTGTTGTATGCTTGTAATATTGCAGGGCTCAGTAGAGTTTATGTTATAGATTTGTGTAGAACTCAAATCACAGTATTGTATGCTTATAACAATGAAATAATGACTTGTATTCAACTGACTTTATTGTATGTTTAAACCGGTTAGATAAGTGTAGATATAGAGAGAGATAAAGAATTAAGGGGTTAACTGGTGCTACAAAAATCTTGTTGTAGGATTTTGATACCCGGGGTTTATATGGATGCATGAGGTGAATGATGAAACTAGATTATGTGGACAGGAGTAAAGAAGACTGACAGTAAGATAGGTGTCATAATAAAGATATGTACAAAAATACTGAGCGATCCTATTATTGTAGAGGAAGTTGTGTAGAAGCCTTCTTGTTTTTGGTAGTGTTAAACCTGGAAACTAAACATTATTGAATTTTTGAATTATTACAAAGTCTTTAACATCTATCTTTACAGGCTTCACTTCTTACATGATGGGAGCAAGAGATTTAACACTGATGGCATCAACAGTATCAAATATCAAGTCTTAGATATTCAGCGGCGTCGGCTGTACACTTGGATCTATGTGTAATAACCTCACCTCTTCTCATAGTCATGTCCGTTCTTACTTGTTTAATTGTATTTAAATAAATATATCTGGCATTACATTCTGATCATTTTATGAATGAGAATTATTTTGTGTATTCAGTCATAAAGATATTATTACTGAAATAAATATAATACATTTGGCTACTTGGTGAGAATGGAAGTGATTAATATTTGTCATCTATGAGCATCATTCTGTTTTATGTAAAGGTCAAGAGTTTCAGTAACTCAACTTCAAAATGGTTTATTAGTGACTTGTTCTACCTTATGTGTTTATTAACACGAAGATAAGCAGTTTATCTAAGTATAATAGGTAAATTAACAATAGTTAGTATTTTTGTATATATTAAAATGTTTAACTTAATACATATGCAGTTGCAGTTATTAGTGAGGTATAACTAACCTTGTGTTTGTAGTTGTATGCATTAGAGGACACTTAGAATACAAAGATGTATGGTTTGGCTTTAATATTGTGGAGTAGAGATCATAGTTTGTAGTTTCAATTCAGTGTTGTAAAGATGTATAAGCTGTCAGCATGATGACAAAGTTCTATAATAAATCATATTTGTATATTTATTAACTGTTTTATTTATTTTACTTGCTAATAAAGGTGACTTTCATGGCTGTGACTCACTGTTGCCATACATTAATTTGTCTTTCACATTATGTTGTTACATGTTCTACAGCCCGATACTAGTGCGTTGGTGCTATTGCAACATGTATACAAATCACGTTCACACCTGTATACTTTAACTCGATTGTTATAAATTCAACTGCTTCGCTCAGTATACCTTCTTCATAGTATTGCATGAAGTATGTATTATAACGACAACCAGACGCAAAATATATATTAGTAGCCTCACATTGAGCAGCAGATGTGGTTAAAAATAATACTCCCGTCAAAAGTAAAATGTAATCATACAGATGTGTGATGCGTCACAACCTTTAGGTTACCATTATACACTAAAAGCGGGTTATCGTATACTGTAAAAAACGGAAAACGTTTTTTTTTAATTTATCATTTCCACCACTTGTCAGCTTATTTGCCATTCTGGTGGTGATGGTGGGGAGGTGGTACAACCATAAATTGTCCAGTGTTAATACTGGAGGGAGTCTGAATTCCTGTACTGCAGCTGATAACACTGTTCTCACATCTGACCTGGGAAATGAGCCCGCAAATCTTTTTTCTGAGGTGTTGTGACGTCCTTTCTATTAACTTTGAATTCAGTAGCCTCTGTCAACATTTAGCAAATGTATAAATTACAATACCCAATTAACTAGATAAACAGCAACCAAGCCTACATTATCACTTACTTCTCACGAGTTGGATGACATTACCATGTCTTCATGCACCTCTGATTACACAGGTCATCACCAAGAGCCCAGCCCTGAGTGGATTTAAGCCCTATATCTCATACACAAGAGACAAAACACGGTTGCTTATTATCGGTTGATCTGTAAAGTAAACCATAGAATGGGCTTTGCTTTATATTAAAATAGAATAGCCAGATAGTGTTTGTGTGAACATTGGGCACTGTGAAACAATCCACATAAAGTAACTAGAAGAGTTACAGGGTACCAAAACAACCACACCAGGAACATAAAGGTTGTAGCGGTTGGGATAACTCTTATTTCCACTAATCTGGAACAGATATAACTGCATGGTTTATTATTGTGGAGCTGGTGGAATATAACTGCCTAGTAATATTGGTGGTAATCGCCAGGATATTGGCGTATACCAATATTCTACTTATAAATGTCACGTCTCACCATTGGCATTTGCCGGAAAAGCCATAAAGGACGCATGGGCGCCAGTGATAATGGCGTCTTCTTCTTGCCCCTTTTGTAATGCCAACTCTCGAGGTAGAAAGCGTCACCTATCAGCCAATCAAAGCAGTGCTGACCTCGCTCGAGGAACAGTCACAGCAAGTTAGCTCCCGGGATTACCAGACAGTATAGCCATGTTTAGTCCTTGCTGGGAACAGCTCTGTGCCTCTCTGAAGGGTGAGGTTGAGAAGGTTTGGGACGAAATGTGTGGCTGAAGGAAGGATTGCAAGGCTGAAGGAGTGACATGTGAAACGGGGAGTGTCGGTGAATGACGACACCACAGACCAGTAGAAGGCAGTGAAGAGAGGGGCGACAAGGCTAGTGGAGTAAAAGGCCAGCAATTCATCTAAGTGTATTAACATTTTAAGGTCTTTGAGACGAATGGCAATACATACAGTTATGACAAGGCTGACAAAGAAAGTAAGACATCCTTAATTGTTGGTGATTCGCAGGAAAGGTGCGTTGATTGTGCTTTTTGAAATAAGGACAGAAATAGGAGAATCAAAGTGTGTTTGCCAGGAGCTGGGGTGAATGACTTAGTAGATAGGATTAAACAGCATCATGCCCAATGGGAACAAAACCCACTATCTACCTCAGTGCAGGAGGGAACGATATTGGCCGGTGTAGGAGTGAAGAGCTTCTTGATAAGTTCAAGGCCGCTATCAACAGGAATTGGGCGAAGGGAGGGATCACCTTCATAAGGAGGTGTTCTGCCTAGAAGGAGAGTTGGCAGTGAATGGTTGTCAAGGGCAGTTGGTGTCAGCGTCTTGATTGGTGATATTGCGAGACAATATCAGTCCCATTCATTGACAACTTCTACAAAAAAGGTTACCTGTTTGCAAGGGATACGTTGCATTTATCTAGGGTAACCCTGATTGGCTCTCTCGAGATTGTCGTTCAAGAGACTTTGAAGTCTTTAACCGCAAAGGGGGTCGAGGAGACTACACTGGGCACGGGGATACATAACGTATGGTTATATAAAAATCATTCTAGGAATGAAAATAAAGCAAAATTAGTCGGAGAGTTAAACCTAAAACGCAACAGATCACGACTAACTTAAATGTCTAGTACGCGAACAGTAGAAATATTATAAATAAAATGGATGAAATCAGAGCTGGTGGTATGTACCGAAAACCCGATATAATAAAGACTCACCGATATCTGCATTAACTTAGACTCACATGAGTTACCTGTAGAATACCAAATTGAAGGTTATAAAATATTTCATACTGATAGGAAGATTAGAAAGGGGGGCAGTGTAGCAATCTACGTCAGGGATAATTTGAAGTGTAGAATCAATAAGGATATTAAAACTGAATTGAATACAAAAACAATTTGGATAGAATTAACCGATGGTAGGGAAAATTAATCATAGGAGTAATATATAAACCTCTTAATCTTGAGAGGGTTGATGGGCAACTTATTTGGGATGAAATACGCAGGGCTTCCAGACATTGCAAAGTCTGTACAATAGGCGACTTTAACTTTAGTCAAATAGTTTGGACTGACTTACGACCTTACAGGTAACTCAAAATCAGTGGATTACCTTGAAACAGCTCAGGACTGTTTCCTAAGCCAACATATAACCGAAATTCCACCTGGGGATTAATATACTGGATTTGGTTCTGTCAAACAGAGAAAAAATCATTAGTAATGTCGATGTAGGGAGCAAGCTCGCTAACAGCGATCACAAAGAAGTGAGATTCAAAATAAGAGTTCATGTCAGTCGTAAGGATAATTGCATTAAAGCTCCACATTTCCGAAGGGTAAAATTTGATGGGTTGAAAAGACAGCTGAGGGAAGTAGCTTTACGTTTGGGGGTGAACTACATCAAGGTCTATAGAATAGGAGGTCATCCCGTGCGCTGGTTGGTTGAGCTTTGCATTCCTGCACTCACTCCCCTACCTCTCACCTCTATCAACAGAACATTTATTGTTCCACATATTGTAATTTGTTAACTCCTAACATCTCACATTGAAAAAATAATTACTAGTTGAGCGCCCACCCTTGCACATCTATAGGGAATGACACCATTCAATGCATTAAGTGATACGAAACATATATGCACAGGGGAAGGAAAGTTTAAAAGAAAACAATGTATGTCAGTTATAGCTAAGGACATTAAAAATAAGTGCAGCTACGATAGGTTAATTATAACTATATGCTAGCCTACAGGAGATCCTTTCCTCTGTGTTGTGCTCATTATATTAACAATGCAGACATGAGGTAACAGGAGTTATAACCTCACATAACAAGTTTTACCGCCACTGACAATGTGAATATAGGTGGGGATGGTAGTTAGGGCAGGTGATCATGTGCTGCCTCTACCTGTAAGTGTGAGGTGAAGAGACAGGAGTTATGACATCACATGACTAGGAGTTACCGTCACTTATGCCTGTTTCATCAAAAGATAAAACAATTAAATGTTCTGTTATGCCATAACTTCTCAACTTGAATTACATTAAAGATTAATATACTAATAAGGGGAATTATGGCAAAAAAATGGCAACTTAGCACACCTTAGACATGGGTTCAAAGCCCTCTTTATCACAACAGTTCAGGAGTGACGGTTTGGAATTATACACATTATAAAAGATTTAAATAGAATATAATAAAAAAAATACCATATTAAGTGTGTAGGTTCCATAAGAGGATTAAGAATAAACATGATCCAGAATAAACAACTACTATTGGCACCGTGTATAAACAATAAACCACCTTACAACACAATAATTGATTGCACTTTACACCTTAATGGCCACCAGAGCAGCACTGAATATAATACTCAACTAAACCCGATTTGAATAGGAATCCACCACTGACAAATCCAACGTCCTTCCACCTCCAAGGCCAGCCAATGACTGACATCGCCCCACCGGCGTAGGTTGTATAGGTGGTGGGAGGTGTGTGTGAGGGAGCTCCGTGTTTTTCGTCGAAAAACAGGGTCTTTCCAGGAGTACCCTGTTTGATTTCAGGAAATCTGATTCGTGAGTGACTAGTGAGTGTCGTGACAAGTACAATATCACCGCATCCCCCTAAGTAGATATATTTGTTAATTTACGGGTGAATCTGTGTCTACCAAAGGGTGTTAGGCCCACCAAACTCCCCTCAGTGCCATGGCTTGTAATCTGAGTCCCTGTCCACCCCTACCGTTCACCC